GCCCGCCCGCCCGCCCGCCCGCTCACGTGATAACATAATATGTCCCCGTCTTCGACGGGCGTATAAAAAGTGTACTCTGCACAAATAAAATAGTTTCTTTCAAACTGATGGGTTCTGATTTTAGCAACAGCTAATTGTTTTTTCGCGACAGTCTCGTGCGATAACCAACTTAACATCAGGCAGGTTACATCAAAGTCTCTTGTCGTGTGTACACGACAACGGGGATGAGACGGCCCTTTATTTTGTCGTCTGTACACGACAACGGGGACCAGGATGACATATTGTTGTCGTGTGTACACGACAACGGTACGGAAAGAGTTAACCTGATCAACTAGTAAAGTATATAAACTTTCTCCAAAGTCCTGTTTCCAACAAATACTAGAGTACAATCATTGCTACCATATATCTGGAAGTAAAACAAGAGGCCCAATGGGCCTGAATTGCTCACCTGGTATTAATCTCACAATTGTAACCTTAAAAGTGGAATAAAATAAAGCAACAGGCAAAATATCAGTGTCTTGACTTCAAGTCATTCAGAAGAACCTGTTAAAGGATTAAAACACATTTGACCCCTGTGACCTTAGTCAAACGAGGACATTAAGTTGAACAAACTTCATAGCCTTTCCTCCCAGAATGCAACTTGCCTAATATCACCACCTTATACCTTTTGTTTATTGAGAAGATGACTTTTAAAGATTTATGCACAATGGACCAGATGTGACCATGAAAGTGTATCAAGGTCATTCACATCAACAAGCAATCACCCTGTTTGCTTTAGTTATTCAGAAGAAGTCGTTTAAAGATTTCAACATATTTGACCCCTGTGACCTTGAATATGGGCAAAGGTCATTCATTTAAAACATTCGTAGCCCTTCATGCCAACATCCTGCTGACCAAATATTATCACCCTGGACCTTTGGGTTATACAAAAGAAGTTGTTTAAAGGTTTTTAAGACAAATAATCCCTTTGACATTGAATTTAAGTGAAAGTCATTTGTTTGAACACACTTGGTAGCCCTTCATGCCAACATCCTTCTGGTCAAATATCATCACCCTGGACCGCTTGGTTATACAGAAGTCGTTTAAAGGTTTTTAAGACAATTGACCCCTTTGACCTTGAATATGAGTGAAGGTCATTTGTTTGAACAAACTTGGTAGCCCTTCATCCCAGCTTGCTACTGGCCAAATATCTTCACCCTGGCCATTTTGGTTATTCAGAAGAAGTTGTTTAAGTTTTTAACATTTTTGACCCCGGACGCCGGACAGACAGACGCCGGATGCTGCACCACGGCATAAGCTCACTTGGCCCTTTGGGCCAGGTGAGATAACAAACTTAAGATTGACCCATAAAATGACATTGGTTTCTTCTGTAATAAATCCACTCTTGATTAGGTAAAAGTCATCCTTTTCAAGGTACATTTTCAACAGTTCATAATTGCTTAAATTCACAAAATCATGTGAACTTGTAACAATTATTTTAAGAACTTATAGCTAATAATGCATAATCTAAACCCAAAACACTCTCAGTAATATAGGGACATGAAGGCCCTACCTAATTTAGAGGACATACTGCTTTGTTCAGCATTATATTGTACCATGCAGGCCAACAACAAGCTACTCGCCTTTGCCCAAACTGTCCTTGACCTTGGACCTGAGACAGTGGGACCAACTTGAATAGCTTGTCTCTGGTCTTTGTTTCACCACACTGACCCATTATACAGGAGTATATAACTGTATCCTTTTACCACTGAGTTTACATTTATACCACTGAGTTTACATATGTGTGTGTAGTTTCATTTTATGTGCTTAATTTAGCCGAATTGACCCTTTGTTACTATGGTAACCTACCTGGTGTGCGTGACCCTGGAACCTTCATATAGAGCTGCACTGTGTTCATGCCAAGTATCGTGTGGCCGACGTGACTCATCATGTTCGAGGCGGAGATAACGCGAGCAAATGCGGGTAACTTTGTCAGCTCCATCAATTGGGGTTTCCATTTTTTCTCATCCGAAAGATCAACATTTGTACCAAATTTTATCATTTTCCTCTTCTTTCTGTTTAATAGTGAAAAGAATTTGTTATTTTTTTTTCAAGTGTATGTATGATTGTTATTTTTGCTTCTGAAATGTTCAGATGTTATCATTTAGTCTTTTAGTCTTGTAAGTAATAACATTTCATCAATATCTGACAATATGATGTCTGTAACTTTACAGTAAAACTTACATCAAATTTAATCCTAACAGTTTTTTTTTACTTTAACTTCAGATTCCACATGAAACCAAAATGTGAAAAACCAAAGCTTCATACTTGTTTTGTGTATAAAAAAGTTAAAATACAATTGACATTTAAGTTTGATTTTATTTACAGAGAAGATGATAAAACTCACTGTTTTGGTCCTGAAGAGGAGTTAGAATCACTATCTGAGTCCTTTTGGATATGTGTACCTTTGACTTTTTCATTTTCCTCCTGGAAGTAGATTTTTTAAAATCATAATTCACATTTTAATTGATATTGTTCAAAATTCAACATTTGTATCGTCCATTTATTACCAAATGTACATCAGCTGACTTCTTCCGAGACAACTAACATCTCTAGAAGGTGTACTCGGCTGACTTCCTCCGAGACACCTAACATCTCAAGAAGGGTGTACTCGGCTGACTTCGTCCGAGACACCTAACATCTCAAGAAGGGTGTACTCGGCTGACTTCCTCCGAGACACCTAACATCTCTAGAAGGGTGTACACGGCTGACTTCCTCCGAGACACCTAACATCTCTAGAAGGGTGTACTCGGCTGACTTCCTCCGAGACACCTAATCTCTCTAAAAGGGTGTACTTGGCTGACTTCCTCCGAGACACCTAACATCTCTAGAAGGGCGTACTCGGCTGACTTCCTCCAATACACCTCATGTCTCTAGAAAGGTGTACTAGGGTGACTTCCACTGAGACACCTAACATCTCTAGAAGGGTGTACTCGGCTGAATTCCTCCGAGACACCTAACATCTCTGGAAGGGTGTACTAGGCTGACTTCCTCCAAGACACCTAACATCTCTAGAAGGGTGTACTTGGCTGACTTCCTTCAAGACACCTAACATCTCCAGAAGGGTGTACTTGGGCGACTTCCTCCGAGACACTTAACATATCTAGAAGGGAGTACTCGGCTGACTTTCTCCAAGACACCTTACATCTCTAGAAGGGTGTACTCGGCTGACTTCATGCAAGACAGATGATTGAGACACCTGACAAGATGGGTGTACTGGGTTGACTTGTGACTCAAGACTCGGATAACTTACTCTGAGAGACTCTTGGAAGGATGCCGCCTGGTACTGAGCATATTTGGCGACGGTGGTGTGGCCTCGACTACTGTCACAGCGCCACATACGGTTCCCGTAGATATCACAGTTTTCATCTGGTGCTTGCATTTTCTGTAACACATCGCCATCAGCTATTAGCATATGATTAGTACAGGCATACAATTGGCTGTTTAGAATACTATTCTACAGGATTATTAAGTTCTACAAGCCTACCAATATTTCCATAGTAAGCAAGCATACTGAGCATTGCTAAAGCAATTTATGTCCCATACCGGTCCCCGAATGAAGCCGCTAGAGTGCTGACAAACATTGGTACGTATGTACGTACGTACACAGATGGACCAGGAGGAAAACTATAGTCCCCCCTTTTTCACCGGTAGGGGACTAATAATGAAATCAGTCCCAGGCACTAAACTATTAACTACTGCACAATTAGAACAGGCCTTGTTCAGTTAAATTGTGGACAGCTGTACAGTGGGTTTTTTTCAAACTTGAAGAAAAGATTGAAGAATAAGCCTAGAAGGATATTTTATAATGTTAAATATAATCATAAAGGGTACAGTGATCGTAAATCTAAACAATTCAGCAGTAATTATTTACTTGTCATTATTTCATTTTTTAAGTTAAGATTTATCCAAACACTGCTAAGAGAATCAAACTTTCTTTTTAGAAAAAGATAATGTATTTTGTATAGAGTGAGCACTGCCTAGAAGATCCAGTTTTTGAATATCTTCAAAATAAGGGGCGATAACTCTGTCAAGTTCTCGACTGTACCTGAGTTCTGACTTCAACAGGATGATCAGCATTAGCCTCCACCAAACTTTTTGTAGAAAATAGACCAAGGTCTGAAAGCACAACAGTTTATCATAATTCAGTTGTATTTCATGCATGCAACATAGCTTTGAATTACTTAAGACGAAATCTATATACTCTTAGCAGACACTTTCTGAAATCATTTATGTTATACAGTAAAGTTGAAAAATAGAGCACACATATATATACAACCTATATGTTATATGTTAAATGACTTTAAATACATAGAACCTGTCACTGATACATACAAAAAGTAACAAGGCCTCAATATAATTCATGCCGCACATTATTTCTATAAGTATCAAGTGTAGTAGGAATTTCTAGATTGATTTTGTACAAATAGCAATTTGATTTTACCATATGGTCCAAAACACAATATGTTAATTAACGTGTCAGGTACATCTTACATTATATTACTGTAGACAGGTGACAGACTTACTTAACTTAAGAGCACCTGCCAGTCCACGAATCACAACAACTAGCTGTATAGCCAGACAAGAGTACTGTGTATTGATCTGAGGTGACAGACTTACCTAACTTGAGAGCACCTGCAAGTCCACGAATCACAACAACCAACTGTATAGCTAGACAAGAGTACTGTGTTTTGATCTGAGGTGACAGACTTACTTAACTTAAGAGCCCCTGCCAGTCGACGAATCACAACAACTAGCTGTATAGCCAGTCAAGAGAACTGTGTATTGATCTGAGGTGACAGCCTTACCTAACTTGAGAGCCCCTGCCAGTCCACGAATCACAACAACTAGCTGTATAGCCAGACAAGAGTACTGTGTATTGATCTGAGGTGACAGACTTACCTTACTTGAGAGCACCTGCTAGTCAACTAATCACAACAACTAGCTGTATAGCTAGACTAGAGTACTGTGTATTGATCTGAGGTTACAGACTTACCTTACTTGAGAGCACCTGCTAGTCCACGAATCACAACAACCAGCTGTATAGCCAGACAAGAGTACTGTGAATTGATCTGAGGTGACAGACTTACCTAACTTGAGAGCACCTGCAAGTCCACGAATCACAACAACTGGCTGTGAGTAACAGTACTGTTGGAGTTCTAAAGAAAAAGCATCTTTTTTGGTCTCAAGCTGTAAACAAGAAACAAAGTAAAATATAATAGTTTGGTCTCAAACATAAAAAGAAAACTTCAGACTTCAACAATTTCTCTGGTTTTATTAACTTCTAGTCAGTTCTGGTCTAACAAATCATGACAATATTTGTCATTGAAAATAGAAGACAAAATTTTCTTTTCTCAGAGATTTTCTTGGCATCTTAAATTGCATGTGCCTTTTAGAATATCAAGTCATACTCTCAAACTGACAATTTTCACAAATATTAAAACAACAGCACTGCAACTTTCCAGTATAGATCAATAATATAATCCGTTTTTGTGATCTATTGCCTTTAAAATATTTCATGAAAATAATTTCAGATTATTAATACTAAATATCTGTGACATGTAATCCTGTAGTTTTGAGGACAGAATAAGAATGTACTGTCACACTGACATACTCACATAAACACTGGGAGTAGGGGGGTTGAGCGCCTCCTTAGGGAGTGGGGGGTATGGTGGTGAGGGAGGGCGAGGTGGACACCGATCTCCCAGTAAATTTGTCGTGATACCATTCTTTCCTGCAATCGTGAATAAATATATAGTGTTACAGAAACCATAATCAGTCTTGTCAGTCATTCATAACGATAGATCAAAATCATGTATTCGCTTATAAAACCATAATTAAAGACAACTTTTGGTCAGTTCTGAGTGGTATGATTTGATAACACTTCAAACAAAAAGCAGATATACATAAGGTAGCATGCAAGCATTGATCTTTATATAAGATCAATGGTAGCCCAATATTATTTTGACACTAGGCTTTTTTTTTTAAAAGCTTTTATCCTATCAAATCACATTACATGGTCAATGAGTGATTATATGGCGTACTCACCATGCCCCTTATACCACTGTTTTTGTGTGGGGTCAGATTTAAGGGGTATTCACCATGTCCCTTGTATAACTGTTTTGTGTGGGGTTAAATTTAGGGGGTACTCACCATGCCCCTTGTATCACTGTTTTTTGTGGGGTTATATTTAGGGGGTACTCACCATGCCCCTTGTATCACTGTTTTTTGTGGGGTTATATTTAGGGGGTACTCACCATGCCCCTTGTACCACTGTTTGTGTGTACGGTTACATTTAGTGGGTACTCACCATGCCCCTTGTATCACTGTTTTTTGTGGGGGTATATTTAGGGGGTACTCACCATGCCCCTTGTACCACTGTTTGTGTGTACGGTTACATTTAGTGGGTACTCACCATGCCCCTTGTATCACTGTTTTGAGTGGGGTTAAATTTAGGGGGTACTCACCATGCCCCTTGTACCACTGTTTGTGTGTACGGTTATAGATTTAAGGGGTACTCACCATGACCCTTGCAGGCTTTGAGTATTTCTCTCCCACTCATGGAGATGTTGAGATTACAAGTAGATGGGATGACACGGGACTGAATTGTAATTCCCGTTCGTTTGGAGTCTATATCACACTTGACACTGTATTCCCGCTGGGAAAAGGAGCCTGGAGTGATCTCCTCCTCCTGTTTGGCGCTATCCTGAGACACAGAGGAATGTACACTGGACACATCACTACCTAAACTAATGTCTCTTGATTGTGGTGTTGTGTGAGTGGGTAAGTGACTAGGATCGCCACTTGTAGTGTGCAGTGTGACCTGCTCTGCAGGTTTTTTATTGTCTGATGTTGGGCCACAGGAAAACTGCGCTAGCAAGCCCTCCGCGATTGAGGTAGGATCGTCGGCACGGGACGATAATAAAGCCATGTCACTCTTGTTCCAATGATCAGTGACAAAACTCTGAAGGTCTTTTGGCAGTCCCTGATCTGATGATGACAATGACAATGGTGATGATGACATGTTGTTTGAACCCATTGGTCGCTGGCTGTTGTTGCTGCCTTGGAAACCAGCTGTGTGTGGGGCGTTGACCATTAGCGGTGACAGGCTGGAGTGGGGAGGCACAGTTCCCTGAGACGATGGTGGCATTGGTGCTATATTGCCTGGAATGTTGCCTTGCTGCTGCGTCTGAGGTAGACTTCCTGAAATGGCTGGATGGGGGCTGCGATGTGGCATCCCATTGAGCATATCCAGACCATGTCCATGAGGTCCCCCTTGTCCGTGTCCCATCCTGTCATAGCCAGGGGGAAGTGGGGGTGGCATTTTAGCTGCCTCATTCCCTAGCTCCGAGTTTCCATGTTCACTTTTAATCACTCCTTGGCCAGGAGGCATCCCATGCTGTAAACCCATCCCGCTCATAGGGCTTTGCAACCCTACAGGTGAGGGAGTCGTCATGGCCCCAGGGAAGGCATGGAATGGATGAAGGGGACGGGCCCCTGGGGAAGACCTAGGCCCAAACATAGGCATAGGGCCCCCCGGGCCACCAGGACCTCCTGGGGAGTGCTGCTGTGCCTGCTGCATCTTAGACTGGTGCTGCTGCTGAAGGAAGTATTGATGTTGCAGGTTTTGGAGGAGCTGCCTCTGTTGGTGATCCAAGGATGACTGCAAGATAGATTATATATGAGAATTATCTCCCTTGAGGCATACCATAGTATAGGTTAAAGAGTAAAAATCTTTGATGTGAATCAACTGTGCTTTAATATGGCATCTGTATGCTATTTTAACTCATTCACCCCTGAAATTTCATAATGAACTATTCCAACCTTTGAATTGACAGAGTTCAAATGTGTCTTTAGGGGTGAATGAGTTAATGCAGATTTCCTTGGTTGGGAAGAAAGATGAGTTATTGCAGAATCATTTACTTATTGATGACCTATATCAGTGTACACACCTGGTTCTGCTGCAACCTGTGAAGCATCTGCATCTGTTGGGGGGTTAGATACTGGATAGGAGGTGGAGTAGGGGGGTCCAGCGGGTCTGTGGCAGGCTGTACAACAATCATCACACCTTTTATCAGCTTCATCACACATTGAATCAATTAATTCCTATTTAAATATTTGTAGCAATATGATTATTTTTGTGTATATTAACCTGGATAATCCTTTTAAATCTCTCGACATCAATAGTTTGCTTTAAGCTTTAATTATTAAAATGTATCGTCCTCTGTTTAAATCTAGGAGTGCCCAATGCCTCAAAATCTGTAGGAAAACTTTCTGTATGTTATGTTCTAAAGTATGTTTCTGAAGCATGCCAAATCGACAGTCAGAATTTCACCTTTTGCAAATTGGGTCCCAAGCCTTAGGATATTCTATAAACTTTCAATGCATAAGAAATCTAACCCTTTTGCGTGATGGTCCTTTTTTCTTTTTGACAGACCCTTCATCTGTGCCTCCTGTTGTCCCGGCAAATGACCCTTGTTGTCCAGGAGACACAGAGTTAGGGGCCATTCCAGATTGTGGCCCCAAGGGTTGGGAGTGCATCATCTGTGCCTTTCCCAGCTGTTGCTACAAAGTGATGAATCAGTTGTCAATCTCAATATTATACAAATGGATCATATCACACGCATGCCTTGATTAAGTCAAAAAACAGATTTATTAAACCAAGACCTACTTTGCACATATTAAAAACTTCAGATTTGGGTTCTAACCCACATCTAACTTATGAAAAACTTATGAAGAGGTGAAAGACAGTATCTACGATTTGTGGCTGGATCAACCAATGTTCTCTTACCTGTGGGGTCACAGTGGCCCCTTGGCGAGACGTGAGTTCTGCTGGAATGGGCAGAGCCCAAGCTTCTTCTATGCTAGGTAGAGTTCTAGGCCTGAAACAGTCACAGAATCACATCACTGACACACCTAATATTATCATCAAGTTTGAAAACTCATAGACTCTGACAAGATGATTAATCAACCCTGCTCATGATCATCTCTATAAAGAGACCACTTGTGTTAAAGGACCACATTTAAAACTTCTCATTGAAGTTGTAACTTATTTTCACATTAACAAAATCTGTATTTTGACACCACCTTCAACAAGAAACCTTGTATTGGACTTCCCAAAGGTGGTCTCTAGATACAAGTCTGACTGAATTGAAAACCTAAATTAAAAAAAAGTTTACATTAAAGAAGGATCAAACAAATATTGCAAAGAATTAAAAGAACAATCTTTATACTGCACATGTTGCGCCATCCTTCTGACCATCGGTCAGATATTGACTTGTTTTGTGTACCTGGACATCTTTCTAGATTGTACACAAAAAGCCTTCAGACTTTTACTAACTATGATGAGTAAATAATCTATTTGTTGTACTTACTTATTCTGAAGTAACTGCACTCTAACACTATCAAGGTTCTGCTGAAGAAATTTTATTTTTGTTGCCAAATTAGAGTTGAAGTTTTCTGGAAAAAATAGAGAAAAATATGTATAATCCAAAAACAGTACACTGTGACTTTTTCTGATATATTGATTGTTGATTTTTTTTTTCAATTTCTAATTTGCTTAGAACTATAAACATTACATAATACCAATTTTATAAGTAAATGAACTTTTACTGTTTACAATATACACTATCTTCACCAGACACCAATAAGATCACAGAAACAGGCTGGTTTACTTGTTACCCATTTTCACAGTTGGAACCAAATTTTGAGCTGGTTGACAAATGCCAAATTGAACAGAGTCTGGTTTAGACAATGTGTACTGTATCTACAAATGTATAATGATATGTTATCTTAGCATCTAAATGTTGTGAATTCTAAGAGAAAAAAGGTCTTAAAACAAAATTTGCTTTAGAGAATTGCTAGATTTTGTACCACTACAGTAACTGTCTATTACAGTACCATTATTGAAACAATTCACGATTCAAACAATCAATATGCAAGTAATTTGAATACCACAAGGAAAGTAGGTCATCCATTTAAGTGCTATTTTATAACGCTATTAGAAAATTTCATTTCTTGAATCTACATTAATTGAATCCAACTGAAAACCCAATAAAGAAGCATCTGGAATTTAGTCAGACACACTCAATAGAATTTGGCAGAAATTTGAATTTACATCATTTTAAATTTCCCATAAAATTGACATGTATTTGATATCCCTTACAAACAATATATCTACTGGAGTTTTCCATTATTGTATGAACCTGGTTATGTAAATCATTGTTCATGTTGTTATAAACTGGTGCTATAAATAAATTCCATTTGTAATAAACTGCCTATCGTTTTTCATCAACTCTGTAGTTCAATAATGCAAATATTCAAGTTATAAGAAATATTTTGCTGTTAGAATACTGAAGAAACGGCAGGCTTGCAATGAATGTAATTGGCACAGTGAAAGTCAATGATTTATTAGTATCTGAGAACAGTAAGACAAACGGTAGTACTGCTAATACAGCCTGCTTCACACGATCAATATGCTCTCCCACAGGCCTGGTACAGGACTCCGCTTCAAAATAGCAATTATGCCTCAAATCTGCTTTATTTTTTTTCATTCCATGCAAGAACAAAATACAGCTGATAATTGCTACCCAAATGTCTATTTCTGTGGCATGCATGTGAATGGTATAGCATGGCTCACCTCATTTTGTAGAGGAGGAATGTAGTCGGAGTAGACACTACATGCATTGAGACTGGGTTTATTTGACAACAGAACTAGGAATCTGTTTCATTTTATGATGTTAAACATGCAAAACTGCATGTCGTTCCAGGAGCGTTTGATTATACTGTGCTAGCCACCCTCTCCTCAACCCTTCCCCAATACACCATCTCCGACTCGGCAACGACATCAAATGGTTACATGTTGTCATTAACATGTAAAAGATCCAGTGGAGTGTGAAAACTTGGCACACTACTAAATGCATGTTGTAATTTTCTTTTGGTGCATTTCTATGTTTTTTGTGACCAGAAAGTGCCAATGATATTTAGCAACGATGGACAATGAAGTGAAGACTGGTGACTATATACCATTAATATCTATGACTGGCAGACACAAACGACCATTACCGGCAACAATCACTAGTCCCATTAGGACCATTATATAAAGGCATACTAAACAGACAACGGCTTCATTGCTCTCGTCTGTCTGTGTTTTATGAAGGGAGTAGCTAGTACATCATAATTACAGGGGTATCTCATACCTTATCAAAGGGCAGATATAGGGTTACATTCAGGGTAGATAGTACACTATTATTACAGGGGTATCTCATACCTTATCAAGGGGTAGATATAGGGTTATATTCGGGGTAGCTAGTACACTATTATTACAGGGGTATCTCATACCTTATCAAAGGGTAGATATAGGGTTATATTCGGGGTAGCTAGTACATTATTATTACAGGGGTATCTCATACCTTATCAAAGGGTAGATATAGGGCTATATTCGGGGTAGCTAGTACAGTATTATTACAGGGGTATCTCATACCTTATCAAAGGGTAGGCTATATTCAGCGATACCTATCACTATAACTCTCATTTTTCAATGTTTTTCTATTATTCTTACCTTTGTCTCTAGTAACATTAAGGTAGCATGTTGAAGGGTCTATGGGGAGATGGTTGACCTTTGTCTCCAGGAACATAAGGTAGTATGTTGAAGGGTCTATGGGCAGATGGTTTACCTTTGTCTCTAGTAACTTTAAGGTAGCATGTTGAAGGGTCTATGGGCAGATGGTTTACCTTTGTCTAGTAACATAAATGTAGCATGTTTAAGGGTCTATGGGCATATGGTTTACCTTTGTCTCTAGTAATATTAAGGTAGCATGTTGAAGGGTCTATGTACAGATGGTTTACCTTTGTCTCTAGTAACATTAATGTAGCATGTTTAAGGGTCTATGGGCAGATGGTTTACCTTTGTCTCTAGTAACATTAAGGTTGTATGTTGAAGGGTCTATGGGCAGATGGTTTACCTTTGTCTAGTAACATTAATGTAGCATGTTTAAGGGTCTATGGGCAGATGTTTTACCTTTGTCTCTAGTAACATTAAGGTAGCATGTTGAAGGGTCTATGGGCAGATGGTTTACCTTTGTCTCTAGTAACATTAAGGTAGTATGTTGAAGGGTCTATGGGCAGATGATTTACCTTTGTTTCTAGTAGCATTAAGGTAGCATGTGAGCGCGTCTATGGGCTGGTTACAGGACTCGTACAGGATCCCGAGGTCAGTCCATGCCGCAGTGTGGGACTTGTCTAACTGCACAGCACATATGTAGGCCTGCAGGGCATCCATAGGCTGGTTCTGCTGCTGATAAAGTACTCTGTAAGACAGGAAACAGTCATCTGTAGGTCACAGTAACGATATCAAACAGTACTCTGTGATGTATGAGTACCACACTCAAAAGAAAGTTTGTGAAACAAGAACACAGCTACATGTATACAACTCATCCTCTTTGAACCATACATCACATTCTGGTAGGCTTGTGTCAAAGATTTTGTACTGTAACTGCAGTGGTGGGGTTCAGTTCAAATCAACAGAGATAGTTGTAGACAGACTTGAGATAGAAGATGATAAACATATCTTTTAAGACAAATATCATTATTTATACCTTGTGGTGAAATTTTCGTTGTGAAAATGTAAAAATATCAGATTTGTCTTTCTGGTTCATCTTTACTCCTTAAATTGACCTAAGCTACTAATAGGATGTTAACTGTATAAAACTTGAATTTTATGATGTAGAACTTTGACAAAGCAGCTCCATACAACATTGATCTTGATTTACCCTATTGAGCACCAGGTGTCAGCACTGGCCTCCGACTTGTCGATAGAGTTTCTGTAGGACACAAAGGCATCGTGGACTTTGGCTAGGCTTGAGAAACACCTGAAAGTATCGTCACCATGTTGTTACCTTGTGTACTGTCATTAATCATAAAATGTCTCAAGGACCGTAGGATTTCAATGTAACGGCAAATTCTTAAAACTTAAAACAATTCAAACATATAAGTCACCTGTTAAATAAAATAAAATTCAAATTACTTTTGGGAGGAGAATTGATTGGAACTTAATGCTTGTTTTGCCATCCCCTATGTTAATACATGTTTGAAATACACAGCTAAATAAACAATATTGTTTTAACTAAAAAATATTTCAAAATCAGCTAGATAACAAAAATGAAGTCTCAATCTTAAATATTTTGTTTTAGAATATATAACACGTTTGATAATCTAACCACATCCTCTCCTAGCAACAGTGACTGGATTGTGACTCGACTTTATTACTGGGACAATTTTGTATTTAAATAACAGCTGGATTAGTGGTGTGTGGATTTGAGTGACTCGACTGCATTGAAACTGAGTTTGAGACATGAGATACATTTATTTTTCTTGTGAAAATCTTGTAAGAGATAACATCAACAGTATCTTTTTCAATAAATAAAACTCTCCATTCCATGAAAATTTTCTCGTGACCCCACCTTCCAAGGAGATACCAAGTCTGGCCGTTGGTAGCGTCGGCGTCCAATGATTCCTTTAGATAGTGGATAGCAAGTCCTTCACGAGTATTCTTGTCCCCTAGCTGGTCAACAGTATGGAAGAGCCAACCTAATGTAACAACCATAAATGTGAGGATTTTTTATAAGTTTCAGGACAACAGGAATCCACATGACGTGTTCAATATTGTCATACGCTAGCAATCAATTAGTGTTTATTAAATCACCTAGAACTTCTAATCTGCAGGAGAGTTTGTGACACCAAAAGTAGTTGTGATTCAGCAGTTAATATCCAATTAAACCATTCTGATCAGACGTAAGCAACACCAACTGTGAAAGGCTCTCCACATGTAGTGTAAAAAGCATTTTCTACTGGAACTCTCTCACAAATTAAAGCATCAAGACTGATGGAGTTTAATTATAACACATCATAATTTTGAACTTTGACCTTATTGTTATTTAAGAGCGATGGCTTTGATATTACAATTGTGACCTTTGAACTTACCTTATTGTTTAAGGGCTGTAGCCTTTGACCTTACCTGACTGTTTAAGGGCTGTGGTCTTTGACCTTACCCGATTGTTTAAGGGCTGTAGCCTTTGACCTTACCTAATTGTTTAAGGGCAATGGCCTTTGACCTTACCTACATGTTTAAGGGCTGTGGCCTTACCTGACTGTTTAAGGGCTGTGGCCTTTGGCCTTACCTGATTGTTTAAGAGCTATGACCTTTGACCTTACCTAATTGTTTAAGGGCTATGGCTTTTGACCTTACCTAATTGTTTAAGGGCTGTGGCCTTTGGCCTTACCTAAATATTTAAGGGCCGTAGCCTTTGACCTTACCTAATTGTTTAAGAGCTATGACCTTTGACCTTACCTAATTGTTTAAGGGCTATGACCTTTGACCTTACCTAATTGTTTAAGGGCTGTGGCCTTTGATCTTACCTAATTGTTTCAGAGCTGTGGCTTTAACAGAATCCTCAGAACTATCAAGGTCTGCAAACTGTTCATAAGATTCTTTAGCTTGTTTATATTTTGCCTGAAATAGGAAAAAAATTATATCACAATAAATCTAGTCATATTCAAGTGTGTACAAACCTTAACTCCTATCAACACAATATGACCTGTCTTGTGAGACCACCACTTATGTCTCTACAGTAGAACCTGTCTTGTGAGACCACCACTTCTGTCTCTACATTAGAACCTGTCTTGTGAGACCACCACTTCTGTCTCTACAGTAGAACCTGTCTTGTGAGACCACCACTTTTGTCAGTACAGTAGAACCTGTCTTGAGAGACCACCCCTTCTGTCTCTACAGTAGAACCTATCTTGTGAGACCATCACTTGTCACTACAGTAGAACCTGTCTTGTGAGACCACCACTTCTGTCTCTACAGTAGAACCTGTCTTGAGAGACCATCACTTCTGTCTCTTCAGTAGATAGAACCTGTCTTGTGAGACCACCACTTCTGTCTCTACAGTAGAACCTGTCTTGAGAGACCACCCCTTCTGTCTCTACAGTGAAAAATTCGTAGGATCCTAATATATCTTCCTTAAGTAACAAAGACCCATAATATTACTGAGCCCTTTACCCTTACATTAATGCCCAATTTATATATTTTTAAAATTAAATAGGTTAAATTCATGATGAACGTGAATATCCCTTGCCTAATCAAATACAAAATTGTATTTTGTACCACATATAGACTTACCCCATCTCTCTGGGTTATTGTTGATAATATATATATATGAAAGTAAAATCATATATAACGGCATAAACATCAGTGTCACTACTATAAACAGTACTGACTTCAATAGTGTATATCCCCTGAGCCCTGAAAGGACAGTTAGTAGATTTCAGGAAATGTACAGTAAGTATATAATGATCATTACCTGGGCTTCGAGGATGTGAGCAATTTGAAGACGAACTAGAAAGGAGGAAAAGAATAATGATATTAATGTCCTGTAGCTTTGATCCCTAAATCTAACAACAAATCACGTTCTACTTGACAAATTGTGGAAACACCAAAGGATAAAGTTTGAATCCCTTTGTAAGGTTTGTATTAGAAATACACAGAATTTATGATCTGCAATTAAATTAGAATATTTATGAGTAGAGAATAATCAGTTTAAATCTGAATTTTTTCAACACGCAATATTGTTAATCTGTTATTTGTGAAAATTGCTTTTTTTATATGTATATGGATCAAAACCTATTAAAACTTCAAAGTCTTATTGATATATATATCAATCTTAAATTGAAAGAATTTTGTTTATGTATTGCCACTATAAAGGTTTCCCTGCATGATTTATCAAAGTAAAATCTGATTCTTTCCAATACAGTTAGTGTACATTCAAAACACATTTTGCATTTAAAATATTTCGTTTTATGGAGTTATACTTAATGCAACATTCTGGTGACCGACCTCATATTTCAGCCAATCAAAGAACACATATAAGGAGAAGTGTTGCTTATCTTTGATTAAAAGAAAGGTTGTTGGTTTCGTGTGAGCACTCTTGTTTAATAATAACATGTTCTGCAATATTTCTGCTACTGAACACCCCCCTGTTGTATACTTACTTTGTGCTTTGGAAAGTGAACAGGGGTTGGAGTCTCTCAGGGCCTGGTGAAAGTGCTGTAATAGGAAGGACTAGTGATTAGACATTGGCTACACCAATGAGAAAGCTAAACAGGAAGATTTCGACATACACACTGTGTATATTACCAATCATAAGCATATACTTAGTTAAAAATCTCCAAATACAGGTAAATGTTCTGGAAATTAGTTCCCCCTGTAGCAATATCCATAATTATCAGTGACGAGGAATTTTCAAACTAATCTCAAGTTTCGTTTTCTGTTGAAACGAATAAAAGTGATGAGAAGCTGCTCACCTTCAAGCTTGCGTCATAGTTGGCGGCGACTTTGGACATCAATCCAAGCCTAATGTGGACCTCGTTAGCCTGGCTAAACCCTGGTTCCCTGTACAACACCTCCTGGAATGCCTTGGTAGCCCTGCAATGTACAAACAGAAATCTCTATCACACTCTGCAAGGTTTCCCTAAAGGACTTCAGTATACCAGCATCTTCCTAGTCTGGTTCTGTACAAATAACAACTTGTATTGGCTGATTAATAGATACAAGATTGTTGTGTTTCTAAATATGTACATGACGATTGTGCTGAAATCTCTCTTAATATTTTCCCTTTTCAATATTGTCACTTTATCTGTAGTTAATATCAGTAGGTTTTCCCTAAATATTTTTATGTTGTCCCAAAGTAGCATTTCTAAGTTTTAATCACTCAGTTTTGCAATTTTATCTGGAGTCAATTATATTGCCATATTACTCTTTGTACTTGGTTATATCCCCAATTATCGCGAGTCAATATTTCTTGGATAATTGTTTTGACCAGGTGATTTCTTGTCAAAATACTGCTTATTATAATATGTATTGAGAAATGACAGAAGATTGAGCTACCTGGTCAACGGATGTGTACTGGCCAAACATTTCTACAGTCATATTGAAACGGAAGTTAAGGGGAGGTGATATATACTGTATATAAGAAAACCAGCAATGCAGTGGGACAAGGATCATTAATGAATATTCATGTCTATATTTCAGGGATATCAAGTTGAGAACTTTCTATCAATTATTATTAAAGAAACTGACAACCATATATAATACTTTATATTAGAAGTAAACATCTGTTGAAATTTTGTTAAAGGTTTAACGTAATGATAGCATCCTACATGTTTTATTGTGATAGGAGAATGTCATCGATGGAATCTAATTCTGTTAATGGACCACTGTTGGCTAAAGGTATGTGTTAAGTGGGAAAGGACATTCACTGAAAACAATCTATATGTACAAGTTGTAATGTCAAATTATCGCCAAGATGTGTCAGCAAGCCTTTACAAAGATTTGAGTCAAAGTCCATTAAAAGTGACATGCAGGGGAAACCTTACGACTTTCTATACGTGTAGAACTAAACTGTTATAAATAATTCCACGTACCATAAATATCTAATAAATAACTGGCATCAAAATAAGTATTCTTTGGCTTCCACAAGAGACTCTGGTACCTGTAATTTACATTGATAGATTCCTGTATTCTTTGACTTCCACAAGAGACTCTGGTACTTGTAATTTAAATTGCGGATTCCTGTATTCTTTGGTTTCCACAAGAGACTCTGGTACTTGTCAGTTACATTGACAGATTTCTGTATTCTGTGGCTTCCACAAGAGACTCTGGTAATTGTAATTTACATTGCGGATTCCTGTATTCTTTGGCTTCAACAAGAGACTCTGGTACCTGTAATCTACATTGACAGATTTCTGTATTCTGTGGCTTCCACAAGAGACTCTGGTGCCTGTAATGTACATTGACAGATTTTTGTATTCTTTGGCTTCCACAAGACACTCTCAGGTACTTGTAATTTACATTGACCGATTTCTGTATTCTTTGACTTCCACAAGAGACTCTGGTACTTGCAATTTACATTGACAGATTCCTGTATTCTTTAACTTCCACAAGTGACTCTGGTACTTGTAATTTACTTTGACAGATTCCTGTATTCTTTGACTTCCACAAGAGTCTCTGGTACTTGTAATTTACATTGCGGATTCCTGTATTCTTTGGTTTCCACAAGAGACTCTGGTACTTATAATTTACATTGACAGATTCCTGTATTCTTTAACTTCCACAAGTGACTCTGGTACTTGTAATTTACTTTGACAGATTCCTGTATTCTTGGGCTTAAACAAGAGACTCTGGTACTTGTAATTTAAATTGCGGATTCCTGTATTCTTTGGTTTCCACAAGAGACTCTGGTACATGTAATTTACATTGACAGATTCCTGTATTCTTTGACTTCCACAAGAGACTCTGGTAATTGTAATTTACATTGCGGATTCCTGTATTCTTTGGTTTCCACAAGAGACTCTGGTACTTATAATTTACATTGACAGATTCCTGAATTCTTTGGCTTCCACAAGAGACTATGGTCCTTGTAATTTACATTGACAGATTCCTGAATTCTTTGGCTTCCACAAGAGACTATGGTCCTTGTAATTTACATTGCGGATTCCTGTATTCTTTGGTTTCCACAAGAGACTCTGGTACCTGTAATCTACATTGACAGATTTCTGTATTCTTTGACTTCCACAAGAGTCTCTGGTACCTGTAATTTACATTGACAGATTCCTGAATTCTTTGGCTTCCACAAGAGAATCTGGTACTTGTAATTTACATTGACCGATTTCTGTATTCTTTGACTTCCACAAGAGACTCTGGTAATTGTAATTTACATTGCGGATTCCTGTATTCTTTGGTTTCCACAAGAGACTCTGGTACATGTAATTTACATTGACAGATTTCTGTATTCTGTGGCTTCCACAAGAGACTCTGGTAATTGTAATTTACATTGCGGATTCCTGTATTCTTTGGCTTACACAAGAGACTCTGGTACTTGTCAGTTACATTGACAGATTTCTGTATTCTGTGGCTTCCACAAGAGACTCTGGTAATTGTAATTTACATTGCGGATTCCTGTATTCTTTGGTTTCCACAAGAGACTCTGGTACTTATAATTTACATTGACAGATTCCTGTATTCTTGGGCTTAAACAAGAGACTCTGGTACTTGTAATTTAAATTGACAGATTCCTGTATTCTTTGACTTCCACAAGAGAATCTGGTACTTGTAATTTACATTGCGGATTCCTGTATTCTTTGGTTTCCACAAGAGACTCTGGTACATGTAATTTACATTGACAGATTTCTATATTCTTTGGCTTCCACAAGAGACTCTCAGGTACTTGTAATTTACATTGACCGATTTCTGTATTCTTTGACTTCCACAAGAGTCTCTGGTACTTGTAATTTACATTGACAGATTTCTATATTCTTTGGCTTCCACAAGAGTCTCTGGTACCTGTAATTTACATTGACAGATTTCTGTATTCTTTGGCTCCCAGATTCCTTTATCACCTTTGTCATCGTTTCAACATTTTATATACTGAAAGTACAATGTTGATGCTGTCAGGATCTGGGTATATCAATCAGGAAAAGTAAAGTGGTCGCCATCAGTCAGAATAACGCAATGAGAATATTCTGAAGTGTCAAAGCTTAATGGGAGGCTACATGCTCAAACTTTCTGTCAAAGTTCGTTTGGACATCATCATTAAGAGAAAGGGGGTTCTGAGAACTCAGAGCTAGAAAGGAAGACTGTTAGTCAAAAATTTGAAGACCCCCCCCCCCCAGTCAACAATTTTCAGGACACGGAGAACTCATTGACAGAATATCAGATGTTGATCATCAGTACTAGGGAGGAAAAACATCTACCAGAGTTAGAAAGATTTGAGCATCAGAAGTTGAAAGTAGAAGGATCTGTAGTATCCATTTTTGTTTACCAAATTTATGAATCAGTTTCCTGAACTATAGGGATGTTTAACCCAACATCAGTCTGTCGTAACACAGGCAGACTAAGCAGCCTCCTGTGAAAACATTATCAGCGTCTGATTGAAGAATACAAGCCCGTAATTAAATCACCTGCGAGCATGCACACGCGAGTCAGACGCACGACGCCAGGTGATGGCTATAAGGTAACACATAAACAGGACAAACCCAACAGGGAAAGCTTGAGATCCCGTCTAGGATAAGACACACCTCACAAACACTTGGCAGACCTAACATATCCCTCTACAGTTGTCACGTCTTTAGTCGACAAAATTCAAAGTGAACGTCCCCGTGTGTTCAAAGCTATATAATGTACAGATGTCTCTTAGAGATGAGACTAGGTAGACACTACGTATAGGATGAGAGACATATTGCATGTCAGTGTTTCATTAATGTAGTCCTAGTAAATACCACTGATTATACTAAGACTTGAAGATAGATCAACTAGCTACTGAAAGCTAATTGATACCTGTATTATAAGGAACTGAAGAAACACGGATATCTGTGAGAGAGATGAAAACATCCTGGATTTTTTTTTTTTACAGTTTTAAAGTTTAATATTAGTGTGAAATCTCAACAGAGGATGTGTGAATCTAACTTAATCTACATGACTACAAAAAATGCACCCCCAACATGCTGGCATTACAGCCTTACAATGACCAAACCTCAATGCATTCACTGACCTATATGATTATAAATATCCAGTATAAAATATCACACTGATGAGACAAACACTGTCACCAATTGAAAGATCTTATGAATTTGTATATGATTGCTACTAGGGCACGACACACACTATTAACATAAGTAGGAAGTTTGACTGAGCTGTCTGATGTCACGGACCACCCAAATAGTGTCTCCTCAACTGATGGCCCACGGCTCCCTTCAGACGACCCACAAGTCACACTTCAGGCACCTGTCTGGCTGTTACCAGCCCAGTGTGGGGGGTGTTTGTTGTCGCACTACATACATAGCTTACCCAACCGGGATGTTGGGTAATATAGATATACACCCAGGGATACAGGAGATATATATATACAGTTAAAACACCTTGGGATACAGGATGTATACATATATACACCCTGGGATACAGGGTATATACACCATGGTATACAGGGTATGTACCAATATACCCTCTGGGATACAGGATATATACATATATACACCCTGGGTTGCAGGATATATACATCATGGCATACAGAATATATACAGATATACACCCTGGGATACAGGGTATATACACCATGGTATACAGGGTATGTACCGATATACACTCTGGAATACAGGATATATACAGACACACACCTTAGGATACAGGGTATATATACCCTGGGTTACAGGATATACACACCATGGTATACAGGGTATATACACCATGGTATACAGGATATATACAGATATACACCCTGGGATACAGGGTATATACACCCTGGGATATAGGGTATATACACCATGGTATACAGGGTATGCACCGATATACACTCTGAGATTCTCTGGGATACAGGATATATACTGATATATACTCTGGGTTACAGGATATATACACAATGGTATACAGGG